CTGCTCAACACTCAGATGTCCAATGACATCCTCCACGGAGAATTCACGCCTCTGATGTTTCAGAGTGGTGGCAAAGTTCCTCCAGGAATTGGGGAGCTTAGCGATTATGCAGCCCGCGACAAACTTGCCCGGTAACTCGCACTTCAGAAGCTCAAGCTCCTTAACAATACATATTATCTCATGAGCCTCCTCCAGTACAGGACGGTTCTCAACCATCTTGTAATCGTGGAACTGCTCTATAATATACATCTCGCTCCCTGCATCGGCGGCCCCGAACTTAGATTCGAGCGCCTCCCACAAGTCCTTGGCGACATGCACATGTAAATATGGGTCGACCAGTTTATCTCCGATCACGCTAAGAACTGCTCCGAGAAACACAGTGGTTGCCTCCCTGAATGCCTTCTCCTGTTCAGGAGCAATCGTTCCCGTGGACACACCGGTGACCCATAACATGTTCATAGTCGTGAGCCATAAAGTGGTCTTCTCTGCCAACGCTTCAAATACGTACCGGTAAACTTATCCGGTTTCAGTGCTGCGGCAAAGCCACTTGCCGAAAAATTCCTAGACATAATAGGTTTTTGGATTGCTAAGTAAATAGGCAATTTTTCGACTAATTTAATCCATAAGTAGATAACTAGCATGGCATTGACAGAACGAACAACATACTGGTACTGGTCTAAACAATCACGTACTATGCAAACAGTAGACAAATCTACACATGATGCTAGCACTACTAATACAAAAATTATCAGGAGAGGGATAAATGCGTTATACCCTCCAGTAGGCCATGCAGAAGCCACCGGGACGGTGGCAGCAGCGTCCTCGGTGGCCTTCTTGTCGGCCTCGGTCTTCTCGGCGGCGGCACGTTCGGCGTCGCTGGACATGGTGATGACGGAGACAACGCGGACGTAGAGGAAGTAGTGGATCAAAGGAGAGCAGTTGCATAGTCGCTTCCCAAAAACCTATTCGTCTCTCTCCCGTACAGGAACCAGAGAGACGGGGTTTCGGAGACCTACTCTCCCGTCGACCGTGTACGCGACGGACGAGATGGAGTCACCGGCGGCAGCAGCAGCAAAGGAACGACGGTGGGCGGTTCGCGTGGAGAAGATGTGATCTAATCGTGGCGGCTAGGGTTTGGGGACACCGCACACTTATATAGACGCAGCCGCATGGAGAGACGTGGGCTCGACCCACGTCCGAGTCCGTGACAGCCCACGATCCGACGTCTCAGATCGTGGTCCTGCTGTCAGAAACTCTCCGTTAGTGACTGGCAAAAATAAGCGCATAGGTGTGAGCTTGGCTCGGCTCATTCCCGCAACCCGCGGCGCGTCGTGACCAGGCGTGGCATGGCGTGGCGTGGTGAGGCGGGCGGTGGAGGAGGAGCGCGCGAGGGCCTCTTCTCTTCTCAAGCTCCAATAGCATGTAGAAGAGCCACCCTTATAAGGAGGTCCAACTCCTCTTCCACTTCTAGCGTGGGACTAAACTTCCCACCTCCACCTAGTGCCAATAACCCACATGGGCCCTTAGAGATTTTTCTTAAATTGCTATATGGGCTTAAGGGCCGTCTCAAATTTCAGCAGAAACACCCCCCCGGCACCACCATTTTCATTGAAAACGCGAAACCAGGTATACAGCGATCAGCCTTCTGTCAAAGGTTCCAAGAAACTAAACCAAACTCAAACCTCTAGCCGTCAGGCAAAAAAAAGGTAAAGGAGCCAAAACGCTTGCAGGGGGCTGTAAAGTGCAACTTATTACAAGCCTTACAAGTTCTAGATAGAAACTAAGGTGCTCACATCCAAATAGAACATGAGTTTTTCCAGCTGAGAAGTCCATCTTCAACCGCCCATTGCTGCAGTGCCAGTTTCTTCTTCCTCGCCTGGTTTGCGCATCCCCACTTGGTTTTCTTGAAGGGTTGCACTTGGGTCAGCGATAGTTCCAGCGGAGTGACAGGGCTTAGTAGCGATGAGTGTTTGCAATTCTTCTCAGGGCTGTTCGGCGGTGTGTAGTGATCAGGCGGAAGCAAAACCCCAAACCTCTTCTCCTATCCCAGTGACATTTTGGAGAGTGAGTCTAGGCTTAGGATACCTGCAGTATCATTGCCATCTATCACCCCACAGTCAGCAGGAAAGGGGAGGTGAGGATCACTATCACTTTTTGAGAAACCATCTTCAACTCTTCCAAGGGAGATTCTTTGAACAGGATCATCCACTTCTTGAGAGTCAAATGAATCTGCCACCATATCTGTTTGAGGTCAGACCACAACACATTATTGAAAACCATAGAATTTCTAAACTTCCAGATGCACCACATAACACAGGCACAAACAGAGTTTTTTATGGGCTGGCCAGAATCTAGCAATGGATAGGTAGTTGCTACCTACATCATGAGAAAGAATTCTAGACATTTCACTCCATATTTGTTTAGCAACCACACAGCTAAAGAACAGGTGATCTATGGATTCCTGTTCCTTGCAAAAATCACATTCAGGTGGTTTAGTAATCCCTCTCTTTAACAAGTTGTCTTTGGTCATTAACTTGTTATGGGACAAGAGCCACAAAAACACTTGTACCCTGGGTGGGACCACTATAGTCCAAACAGAAGGTATATATATACAGGTTGCACTCCTCTGAAGTTAATAATATTGTGAAGGGAGCTAGTAGAGTAGACCCCTTTGCTCTCGTATTGCCAAATTAGAGAATCTTCCTCCTCAGTCAGCACACAGTTCTTGATGATCTGCTCAAGGCAGTACCAATTCTCCATCATGGCATCTGAGAAAACCCTCCTAAATGATAATTTGATATTAATCCCATCCCAAGCATCTGCCACAGTCACCCCCTGCTGGTGGCAGATAGTGTATAGGGGCAAGAACTGGACTGACAGTGGGGATGTGCCAAACCAGATGTCTTCCCAAAGTCTAGTCTTCTTACCATTACCTATTTTCCATCTATAACCAAACTTCAGGGCTCTAGCAGCCCACATCACACCTTGCCAAAATTTGGACGTGTTCTGGGGGTTGGAGGCAAAAATGTTTGGGCTCCTCCTAATATATTTAGAATCTACTATTTGTATCCAGATCTTGCCCTCATCATGGATGTATCTCTTAACCCAATTACCCAACAGGCACAGGTTAACATCCTTGATATTTGGGATACACATTCCTCCATATTCTTTCCTCATGCAAACCAGATGCCAGTTTGCAAGGTGAAGTTTCCTATTCCCTTCAAAATCACTCCAAAGACAATGAGCAAGCTGGCTGTTAATCAGGTCCAGGGCCCATTTGGGGAATTTGAAGAAGGAGAGCAGGTAAACAGGGATGCTAGCCAGACAAGCCTTAATTAGAATCACTCTAGCAGCATAAGAGAGAAGCTTTCCTCTCCATCCAGCCATTCTTTTGAGGATTTTGTCGATAAGTGGCTGGATGTCCTCCCTTCTAAGTTTTTCATAGTGTAGGGGGATACCTAGATATTTGATAGGAAAGGTACCTACAGTACATTCTAATATATTTTTGAAAGAATCTACTTCTCGGTCAGTGAGCCCAATAGGGATAATCTCACTTTTAGAGTAATTGATCCTCATACCAGATACATTCTCAAAAAGCAGGTTAGGATATGTTTGAGGTTAGTAACCCTATCTTCAGAGTTGTCTACAAAGAGGATGGTGTCATCTGCATATTGTAGACATATGACCCCTCCAGGTATGGGATCAGAGCACAATCCACTCACTAAGCTATGAGAGGCTGCTTTAGCCAGCATCCTAGTCAAAACATCTATAACTAGGTTAAACAATAATGGGGAGAAGGGGTCTCCTTGTCTCAGCCCTTTGCCAGTAGTGAATAAATCACCTTCCACCCCATTAATTTTCACCCCAATTGATCCCATTTGGGTGATCTGCTTAATCTAGTTAATTCATTTAGAATCAAACCCTCTCTTTTCTAGAATCTCATAGAGAAAATCAAGGTTCACCTTGTCAAAGGCTTTCTCGTAGTCTAATTGATCACCAACCTAGCATTGCCAGTATGTACAGTGGAGTGCAGCACCTCATGTGCAGTCACCACACTTTCTAGAATGTACCTACCCTTAATGAAGGCAGATTGGTTACTGGAGGTGAGGAAATTCATCAACCTAGCTAATCTATTAGTTAAGACCTTGGTGAATACTTTAAAAATGCAGTTAAGCAAACTAATAGGCCTGAACTTCTTCAAGTTAGAAGCATCTTGTTCTTTAGGAACAAGGGTAATCATGGCAAAGTTAAGTCTATAGATGTCTAGGTCCCCCTCATAAAAATCCTTGAAGATGGCCATAATATCTGGTTTCAACACCTCCCAAAACTGTTGTAAGAAGACAAAGGAAAGCCCATCAGGGCCTGGAGCCCCATCTGAGTAGGATCTAAAAATGGCTTCCTTTACCTCATCTTCAGTAAAAGGGGCTTGAAGAAAGCTATTGTATTCTATTTTAACTTTTTCATCTTCAGAGAAAAAGACATCCCTCAACCTAAACCCATTTCTACTCTCTTTCTTAAAGAGATCTTTATAGAAGGAGGAGGCAATGTCTAGCATGTCCTTGGTCTCTGTGACAGTGCCATTAGGGCCATCAAGAGCATGTATCTATGTTTTCCTCCTCCTTTGATTAGCTACAACCTGAAAGTATTTAGTATTCCTATCTCCTTCAAGAATATCTTTATCCCTAGATCTTTGTTTGGCTTTCACTTCATCTTTAAGCCAAATATGGTGAAGCTCTTGCCTCACCATTTTCATCCTATCAATCTTAGAGGCAGATAACTGCTATTTTTCTGCTTTAACACCTAGGGCATCAAATTCAAGTGTGAGGTGGGCTTTATGCTTCCTAATCTCAGCTTCTATATTCATACTCCACCCTCTAGCAAACCTTCTAAATCTCCGAGCTTTCTCCTGGCAGTTCAAGCATGTCCTGGTGGATCCGAGGCAGTACGGTGTGTTGATGGAGAGCTTGTGTGCAGGTGGTAAGTATGATGGTGCTGTGCAGGTGCTCGATGAGCTTCTAGAGAAGGGCACACTGCTTAGCCCAAAGAGTCCAGTGATGGAAGCACCGGCTTATAATCCAGTGATTGAGTATCTGTGCGACAATGGGAATACCAACAAGGCCGAGACGTTCTTCAGGCAGCTGATGAAGAAAGGTGTGGATGACAAGTCTGCATTCAACAGTCTTATCCGTGGGCATGCAAAGGAAGGTGCGCTAGAGGCCGCAAAGGAGATTCTTGCCATTATGACACGCCGTGGCGTCCCTACTGACCCCCACTCGCACGCACTGCTTATTGATAGCTTCCTGAAGAAGAACGAGCCAGCTGATGCAAAGACGGCACTGGACAGCATGATGGAACATGGTCACTTACCAAGGCCAGCTCTGTTCCAGTCTGTCATGGCGGCACTTTTCAACGATGGCCGGGTTCAGACCGCAAGCAGGGTCATGAAGAGTATGATCGAGAAGGGGATTACCGAGAACATGGATATGGCACATAAGATCGTGGAGGCTCTCTTCATGAGGGGTCATGTGGAGGAGGCGATTGGTCGCGTCAATCTGATGGTGGAAAATGGCTGTATGCCTGATCTGGATAAGTTGCTAGCTGCCCTTTGCGAGAAGGACAAAGTGATGGAGGCACAAAAGCTGGCTGATTTTGCGTTGGACCGGGACTTTGAAGTTAGCTTCTCAACCTATGACAGAGTCCTGGAAGCCCTGTACACTGAGGAGAAGACATTGCCA